CAGACATCTTAGAAACTGTTTTTTTAGAGGTTTAAGTCTAGGACCTGACTTCTCCAGGCAGGAAAGAGATGTTTCTTGCAAGATGCATTGGCATTAATCTAATAATTCTGTCCTATGGTATCTGTGTGTGTTTGCAGGGGTGGGCTTCTAGCACACAGAGTGTTTGTATTATTAACCTTTTTGCTTTGAGATTATTGTAGATTCATGTGCAGTTAAGTAAGAAATAAAATGGAGAGATCCCAGGTACCCTTTATCCATCTCCCCAAGGGTAACAGCTTGCAAAACTACCATACAATATCACAGTCAGCATATTAACCTTGACAAAGTTAAGATACAGAACTTTTCGACCACCAGAAGGGTCCTTCATGGCACCCTATCATAACCCACCATCTTCCCTACCACCCGCCCCTTTTCAGCTCCTAGGAACCACTAATCTGTTCTTCCTTTCTATTATTTTGTCATTTCAGGAGTGGCATATAAAAGCAATCATACAACATGTAAGCTTTTGGAATTGGCTTTTTCTCCCTCTGCATAATTCTTGAGATTCATCCAAGTGGTTGTGTATCATTTGCTCCTTTTTACTGCTCAAGAGTGTTCCATGGTGTGGACCAACCACAGTTAGTTTAACCATTCATCCATTGAAGGACATTTGGGTTGTTTCCAGTTTTAGGTTATACAAATAAAGCTGCTATAAATATTCATATACAGTTTTATGTTGTAAACATGAGTGGTCACATCTCTGGGAGAAATGCCCAGGAGTTTGACTTCCTGGGTCATGTGGTAGCCGTACGTTTGATTTTTGAGAAACTGCCAAACTGCTTTCCCTGAAGATTCTACCATTGGATGTTCCCACCAGCAAAGCAGGACTGATCCAGTTTCTCCAAGTTCTCCTTAGCTTTGTTGCCGTCACTGTTTTTTAATTCCAGCCATTCTGATAGGTGCATGATGTTATCTTATTGTGGTTTGAATTCAAATTTTTCTAGTGGTCAGTGATGTTGAACTTCTTTTCACGTGACTGTTTGCATGGGCATCTCCTCTGTCGTGAACGTCTCTCCGTTTCTATTGCCCACTTTCGAGGACTGTTTGCTCTTCTACAGTGGGATTTTGAGAGTTCTTTCTATTTCTAGATCCTGGTCCTTTGTCAGATGTGCAAATATTCCCTCCTACTCTATAGCTTCTCTTTTTATGCTTTTAACAGAGGCTTTCAGATAGCTTTAATTTTGATGAAGTCTAGGGTATACACTTTTATTTTTATGGATTGTCCCTAAGAACTGCTTGCCTAGCCATAGAACCCAAAGATTTTTCTCTCTCCATTATTTTTAAAGTTTTATAGCTTTATGTTTACATTTAAATCCTTCCTCTTTGAGTGAGTTTTTTCATGTCAGTGGCATCCTGGCTGCTCTTTCCTCATTACATGGAGGAGCAGACACACTCCAGAGTAAGCTGTGTCTCCTGTACATAGATTTAGGTCATAGATTAGGAACCCTAGGCTTCCAGGTTCCAGGGGATGACAGCTGACAGTGGGTGCTGCAAGGAGGTGGCCCTGCTTGTGTATTCAGGATTCTTGACTTAGCCTCTGTTGGGTGCATAAATGACAAAAGTGATTTACGTATTCAAACTAACTGGTTTCCATTTAATGTCGCATTAGTATGAGGAAATTGCTTAGGAGTGTAAGCACATTTTTCCTGAAATGAAAAAATGTGTTTCATTTGTTCCTGAAATGTTTCATTTGTTCATTTTTCCCAACATGAAACAAATGTGTTTCACTTGTTCCTGAAATGATAGGATCCAGGGAAATCCCTAGAATCAAAACTCAATACTGTGTTAAATGCTCTGAGAAGGGTTGCAGTCAATGCATCTATTCAGTGTTGTTTAACTCAGTGCATCCCAGTTTATGTAACTTCCTAACACCTCATTTATCACATGCAGAACATGTTTTTGGAAACTGTTTTATTTCAGTGCCCACACTTTATTCTTGAAGAGACAAAGGAACCCTGCATTGATCGCCTATGGGCCTGATGACCACAGCAGCAAGCTGGGTGTTTTCTGAGTGTCTTTTGCTTTCCTGCGGAGTTACTGCTCCAGAACCAGTGACTCCCATGTGCAGACCTGGGGGATCCCTGGCTGTGACTACAGCCCTGCAGGTCTAGCCAGGCAGAGGGATCCATATGGGATTCAAGTATGTACAGAGCAGTGAATTACATCAGGGAGAAAGATTGGGCCCCAGAAGACCCGCGAATCCACCCCATGTGGTCAACACCCAAGTGTTGGAGGAACAGACCTGGAGGAACAGAGATGAGCCTAGAGGCATTTCACACACAGCTGAGTGGACTGGACTAAATGGGTTAAGTGAACTCACTCCTCAGGGGAGAGGCAGAAGGCAGAGGGGCCTGGGTTTTTTTTCCCCTGGACGGTGAATATTGGTGTACTGGGGACACAGGAGAAAGAGCTGGGAGGAGGGGATAGGAGAGGGACATGGCTTCACGAGGTAGGCCTGGAGCTAGTGGGAGATGAGGGAGAGAAAGCAGCCAGATTCCCACCACCGGATTCCCACCACTGGGAGAGGTGGGCGAGGGGGTCCCCTCATGGGGGAGCAGGAGCGGTGGGCAGGCTTGCGCGGGCTCTCTGCAGAGAAGTGCTCAGGAGACCTGGTCTGGCCGGAGCTTCAGAGGAACCCTTGCAACAAAGTTACCCAACACAAGCAATCAAAGAAGCAGAAGGCTGAAAGGAAGGGAGGTGGCAATTGTAGCAGAGTGGGAGGCCTATTAATGATGAAAATAGTGCGGTGGGAACACCAGGGAGCTGGGCAGAATGGGAGCAGCACTGGGCGTGGAGGGTTCCTAACTAGAGTGACAACATTTATGAGTATGATTTTTAAATGTCTTTATGGTGAAATATAGCAAAGGTACAGAAAAGTATATAAAAGTAAATGGGCAGCTTAAGAGACTTGCATAATGACTGGTGCCGTCAGGGGCAGGACGGCCTCAACCCACAGCCCCAGGCCTCTGGTGGTCTCAACACCCCTACCCCCAGTAGAACCCCCGTTCTGATGCTTAGGTAACCACCTTTTCCTTTCTTCAGTGTTTTACTGCTCAATGACGCTTCCTGGAACAATGTAGTTCAATTTGCCTAGTTTTAGAACTTTTTATAAATGGACTCATGCAGTATGGTTTCTGGCTTCTTTCACTCAACCTTGGAGAGATTCATCCACGTTGTCATACTTCGATGAAGGGTGTTCATTTCCATTGCTAGATTCCACCCGGTGAGCAAACGTTCTTCTCATCACCTGTTCTAAGGCTGATGGCACACATCTGGGTGGTGCCCAGTCCCACCCTGGCATGCCTTCTTACCCAGGCTATACCTGGGCCCCTAAACACACATTCAGCTGAGTAGCGGCCTAGGGTCACCTGTGGATTTGTGTTTCCACAGCATGAGGGTCAGGTGGAGAGGTGGTCTGGACCCCTATGAGGGTGGGGGTGGTGGGTAGAGGACTAGATGGGGAAGAATGGACATCTCTGAGGCTGATGCCATGGGACCCCCTCATTTATATCAATCACTCGATGAAGATGGAAGTCCTTTTATGTTTCTTTCTGGAGGACAGGTGGGTTCTCTTGCTTTTATTTAAGAATTCCTTGAGAACTGCAGAGAGAGAAGCAAACCTATTGGACGCTTGCAGGCAGAACTCCCGTTCATCTTTGTACCATCCTAAGCCAGTGGAACACACAGGCACAAGCACTCGGCGTCAGATAATACTTGCTTACCAGAGGAAGAAAGGAGCAGGCAAATATGTTAAAAAGATGACAAGCAATTTTGGACTGTATTTCACCTTCCGGTTTCTAACCCCCTCATCAAGTAGGGGAGAAAGGTGTTGACCTCTGGCTGGCCTCCCTGGAAATGGCTCCGAAAACCAAAAACAAACTGGATTCAGGGGTTTGGCTGGAGGGAGAACGTTTCTGCACGAGGAGGGCGAACACAGAGATGTATGGAAGAGCACTGGGGGTCCGATAAAGGGTCCTAGGTAAAGGACCAGAGGAGGCCCCGAGGGCTGCAATGAGGAGTTAACAGTTTGATCTGATCCCTGATAGCGGCTAAAATTGACCTGCAGCTCTTTACAGGGATTCTCCAGGTAGGTTCTCCGCCGGGAGGTGGCGGTGTGGTAGTGTGCGAGGACCCGGGCGCGTTCAAGTTCAAGCTCCCGGTCCGGAGAAACCTTCGCGACATTGTTTCCTTTATCGCTTAAAAGAGCCGGGCTGCAATGCCGGGCGCGGGCCGCACCGCGTCCACACGGGGCCCCAGCTCACCCGGCGCGGCGGGGTCTCGGGATGGGGAAGGGTCTGCCCGCGCGCGCCAGGGAGGGGAGGGCTTGTGTTTTCTTTTCTTTCTTCCCGGTCTCGGCGGCGGGGGTGGGGGAGCAGCGACGCGCCGCCCGCTCCGCCCAGTCGAAGGAGACGTCTCGCTTCTGAGTGGCTGCAGGGTACCTCCCCCCGCCCCGCGTGCGCCCCCGCTGCCGGGCCTGGCGCCACCCTCGCCGGACCCCGCCGCTGCCGCCGCGCCCCCCACCCGCCTCTGCCGCCGAGCGAGTCCACCCCTCCCCTCTCCTCCCCCCCTGCCCCGCCCCTCCCCTCCCGCTCCCTCGCCCCGCCCTCCCCTCCAGCTCCCTCGCCCCGCCCCCGCCGCGCGGGCCCGCCCTCCCCTCCAGCTCCCTCGCCCCGCCTTTCGCCCCGCCCCCGCACCTCCCGCACCTCCCTTCCCCTCCTGCCCCGCCCCCGCCCGCTCCCTCGCCCCTCCCCCTCCCCTCCCCTCCCCCTCCCCCGCCCGCCCGCCCGCCCGCCCGCCCGCCGCCGCCTCCGCCCGCCGCCCCGGCCGCGTCGGGTAAACCTGTTTGGCGGCCGCGCCGGGGCGGATCGTGCGGCCGGCGGCTCCCTCGCGGCTCGCGGCGTCGGGGCCCGTGGCGCGCGCGCGGCCGCCCCTCGGCCCCGGAGCCCCTCGGCGGCGCCACCATGTACTCGGGAGCCGGCCCCGGTGAGTCCGCGCCCTCCTCCCCGCGGCGGTTGGCGGGCCGGGCGCGAGCGCGGCGCGGGCGGGCGACCGCGGGCCGGGGGATCGGGGGGCCCGGAGGTCGGGGGGCTGCCGGCCGCTCCCTCGGTCCCAGGGCGGACACGCGGCCCCGGCCTCCTCCTCGGGCCCGAGTCGTCGGGGCGCCCCGCGCGGCCTGGGCCCTCCCCGCGCCCCGTCTCCGCCGCGGCCCGGCGGGCTGGGACCGGGCCGGAGCGCGGACTGGGCCAGGCGGCCCGCGTGTAGGCCTGAGGCCCGGGCGCCCGCCTGCCCGGCCTCCTGCGCCCGGCGCCTGGGCCCCTGCGCCGCGCGGGGCCGAAGGGGCCGAGGCCGGGGCCGCGCTCGAAGCGCCCGGGGGCGGAGAGGCCCCGGCCGGGGGCGCCGAACTCGGGGTGCGGGTGGCGCGGGGAGGAGCGCGGCCGCTGGGCGCAGACCGAGCCGCGGCGAGCCTGGAGCGCTCTCAGTTTCGTTTTTCTTTTTGCCAGCACTTCTGCGGCCCCTTCTCCTAAGGAAAGTCTGGAAATGCTGAATTTTGGCCAATTCTTGCTGGTAGTTAGGACCGCGGACAGAGAGGGATAGGAAGGCGCCCTAAAACCCTAAACCTGCGCGCGCCTCATTTTCATTCCAGACACACAGGCTCCTTATTCAAGTGTTAATTGCCTTTTACAGTTTACTAGAGGAAGGTGAGGGGATGTGCTGATTTCCTTAGCATCTTTTCTCACTAGCCAGCCTCCCTCTCTTTAGAAAAGTTCTGAAAAACTTAGAGCAGTAACACACTTTTTTAAGAACTTTTTTGGGGGGATGCAGAGTAGGCGATTAACTTGCTGGGCCAAGAAAATGGTCAAATGTTGTTACGCTTTTCCCCTTCTCCCGCCAGGCACGTGGCTTCTAAATTTCCCGCTGGCCCTGCCACTTGGACAGGGCATATCCTGTCCCCTTTGTCCACCAGGCTCCAGCGGGCTGCAGGCCCTGCCGGCTGGGTCCTGCCTTCTGTGGGCCCTGGCCCTCCCAAGCCTCCTGCTGCTGGGGCTTTGGTGGGACCTGTTGAGGCTCTTCTGATCCATTTGGATCCCGTAACACTTTCTGCCCACAGTCCTGTGCCCTGTCAATACTCACTGTCTTGTTTTCTGATGTCATTTAGTTAGAAAGCTTCTCCAAGGCTGAGCCAGAGCAACTTTTAAATTGCTCTCAGCAATTTGATAGAAGAATGGTTTTAACTGTAATGGTTTTAACTGTAATCTGGAAGGTGACTCAGCCCTGGTGGGGAAAGGCCCAGGGCTCCAGTCACAGTCCTGGGGGCAGACAGACTTGGCTTGTTAGAACCCTGGGTGGGCAGCTCCCACCCATGACGTGGCAGGGTAGCCCCCACACCTGGGTGAGTGAGAATCTCCCCACCCATCCCTTTGAAGGAACCCAGCAAGTGTTAGCCACTACACTGAACATTTTTTCAGATTTTCAGTATAAAAGCTGGAGGCCCAGAAAAGGTGAAGAACCTTGGGGAAGGTCAAGCTTTTGTGTTGCGTCTGACGTTAACTGACCCACTGGACAGCTTGCTAAGTTGGTGGTGGTCATTTTGAAGATGGACAGCAGAGGCACAGAGAGGTTATGAGCCTTTCGAAGGTCATCCAGCCAGCGAGCAGCAGGACGGTGTGTGTGATTCCAAGCAGACTCTCCATACACTCCCTTTAGAGAAGTGGCTCTTGGTCCTTTTGACCTTGACCCCCAAGAAGAAACACCTGTTACATGTAGACTGGACCCAGGGCTCGGATGTTAGAGTATAATTGAAACACGAGCTTCAGGAACCACGCTCGCCAGTGCTGTGTGCTCTGCACTGGGATATTTTTTTGTCTATTTTCCAAAAAGCTTTAGTTCTCTGAATCTCCAGGCTCGTTCCGGGTTCTCCGTGGCTCTTGGAAGAATCTTGCTCTGATGTGGGCCTGTGCATCGTGGCCTGGTGGGGAGGGGGCCTCTCATTCACTGTTTGCAGATAAACCTGCTCTGAAATCTGACAGCTTTGGTTGAAAAAATAAATGAGTCTGTAGGATAGTTCTTAGCCAGTGAACGGCAGGATGGGAATGAACCCAAATTTCAGGCTCTACAAGCGTGCTGTAATTATAAGGTTGTGATGCAGTTCAGTTTTATTCTACACACTCAGGCTTTTAATTTTATTTAAGAGGGGTATTTGGAAAAGAGTCTCTTCGGTGAAACTTTAATGTATTTCCTAATTTAGAATAATAAGACATTTGAACTGGATTGTAGAAAAAATTACAAATGGTTTTGCTACTTCCCATTTTAATACCCTTATTAAGTGACTTCCTAAGTCAATTAACTTAAAAAATAGAGTCTTGTGATGGACTGTGTTGTGCCTGTTAGAAATGCTATTATGTATGTGAATTGGTATCTGGACTCTAAAGTTAGGTAGTTACTATCTTAGTTTTTTGTTTTTGTTTATTTTTTTAATTATTCGAAAGAGTTAGTGGTTTAGGATGGGTAGATTCTCCAGTGACCCTGAACCTTCATAGATGAACAATTTTTTTTTTTTCCCCCCAAACCACTTAGAGACCTTAAAGGGAATCTCAGTATTGCCTCCTGAAGGGGGCTTGTTGGTTAATTTCACTGTGCTCAGACTCTTGTGGGTTACATTCCTCACAGACCTGCTACAAAGTAACTTCTGACACTTGGAAGTCTTGTTGGAAAGTTGTCTGAACAGGATTGTGACTTTAAGAATGAGGGACTTTCACTGTGGTTTCTAGAGTCATTTCACTCCTCCTGCACCCCGCTGCTTCTTCCCCCCACCCCAGTCATCTCAAAGAAGATCTGGGCCAGTTACTGGGCCAGTCTCCAGTAATGGGGCACCTTTGCTGAGCGGCAGCCGGCCCCGGGAGCTGCTGCAGCCACAGGGCATGGCTGGCTTGTGGTCCAGCTCTCCTTGATGGATCTGTTAAACCTTGAAGGATTTAAGTTTAAATGTGAAAGGTTCAACTCCTAAAACTTATGCAGTTCAGAAGAATATTGTTTCCTGTTAGCTTCAAGTTTGTGTCAGAGTTTTTAAAAGGCCAGTAGGGTCTATTCTTTATAATCTATTATGCAACACTACGGCAGAGTCCCAGTCTGATAAAATATATTTTTGTTTTGGGAATTGCTATTGTGAACGCTCAAAATGTATCGCTTGACTTTTAAAACAGTATCTATATGTGAAATAATCTAAAATATACAGAAGTAGAGTGACTGGTATCATACGCTCCCATTTATCCATCACCAGCCTCAGCAATTATCAAGATTTTCCACATTTGCTTCACGTCTTCCCTTTCCCCCCTTTTCTCTGTGGAGATAGTCTAAAGTGGATTCCAGCCCTGTGGTTTCACCCTGAATGCTTAAGTAACATGTCTGAAGGATGGGGGCATTTAAAACTCAATGCTGTTGTCATACTTAACAGTCCATAATCAATTTCTCTCATTATCTCTGAAGTGTGTTTACTTCCTGGTTGTTTTGGATCCTGAATTTTGTTAAAAGTTCACACATGAATTTGGTTTTACGCCTTTGAGGATCTTCAGAGTCTCCCGCTACCCCCCACCCCACTGACTTGTAAGATCTCTTCTTCAGAGGGTGTGTATCTTTCCCCCTAATTTCCTTTAATTGTTTCTAGAAAGAAGCTGGCTGTTCAAGGTCCCTGGGCTTCCTTGGGGAAGGCTGATGAGACCCAGCCGCTCATGACTTAATTCAGACACACTTAGCTTCAGCGACATTTTGGGGCTGGCCACTTGGCATCTTCAGCATTCAGTGTGGTAGAGCCCGCTTTTTACGCAGGGCTGTTTCTGCAGAAGGGTGGCGGGGTGAAGAGGGGAAGCCCTGTCTCTCCTGCAGCTTCACTCCTCATCCCCAGGAGGAGGGAAGGACCAGCAGGCTGTGCAGGGAGAACCACGCGTTGTGTTTGCATGCATCAAGTTTGAGGTTCTGGGCAGCTGAGGCGGTGCTGGAGGGGGTCTCGGGCTCAGACGGACATGAGTTCGCGGACCAGCCCACAGCCTGGGCTCTGTGAGTGGGACCTGGCGCCCACCCCAGCAGCTGGTCTCAGAATCACGTGAAGGCTTTTCTCCACCTCTGCCCCTGCAGACCCAGGAAATTACATTTTGCAGGTGTCCCGGGTGCTCGCTGTTTAGAAGGAGCTTGAGACCCATTGATGTTGGGAGGCGGGGCCGGAGAGGATGTTGAGATGAGCCGGGCTCAGCCTCCACGGAGCACCTTCATTGGGGGTCGCCCCCGGGAGCAGCTCGTGCCTGAAACACACCTTGGAGGTCAGCCCCAGAGAGTGGGGTCGCCGGCCGGGGTGGGTGGGGTTTGGGTGTGTGTCTGGGTGAGACTGTGGGTGTGCTAAAGGGCCTTTATAATGGACCATAAAAGGTTAAGTTTACCTGTGGTTCCCTGCCTGGTAAAACCTAAAGGTCTGATTGAATGACGACCGCGCCTTTCATTGACTGTAGTTGTGGTTCATATTGCTGAGGATGCAACTTAGAATTGGGGCAGAAGGAGGCTTCTATAGGTTGTTACTGGGGACTCCAGTGAATTCTCAGTGAAAATTGTGTATCCATCTTTAAGAAGCCATAGCAACAAACAAGCAGAACTGTGGCCAGGTTTAAAACCAGCTGCCTTAGGAATCCAGGTACTTTTTACCTGACTGTGTCTCATTGTTTTTGAATCCTGCTTGTCCCCCGGAGCCTCCTGCCTCCCAGGCAGTCTCCCAAGGGGCATTGTTTTTGGGGTTTTTCAAGTTACTTCTGGGTGTTTCAGCTCTGAGCTCTAGTTCTTAGAGAGTTGCACATAAAAGGTCAAAATACTGAGGTTCATAGGTCAGAGTCATTTGAGATGTTCTGTCGGCTTTGACTCAAAGTGAAACAGTACAGCCTCTGAGAGTCGGTTCTCACAACGGCACGTTCATGTCGGTGGAGGAGCTTGAGCCCGGCCGGCTG